GCACAGCAAGTGAGGAGTAGGAGCTGTAGCTCCTGGGATGCTTCTGTCAGGGGAGTTATTCCTGGCCTCTACCTTTGGACTCTGTCCTTGTACCAAAATATAATGCTCATCAGACTGCAATCTTAGAGTCCAAATGTAGTACATCCCCCTCTTTCCCATTTTTCAGGTGCAAGTTTAAAAGTTTCTAAAAGAAAAGGCAACAAACCAAAACAACAACAAAAAACCAGCTCAAAACCAACCCCCAGCTCCAAACCAGAAAGTCAGAATGCTGTGTGGGTGACACACTCCTGACAAGTGCTGGGAGGCCAGAGATGGAAATTGAAATGAAAATCGAAACACATCTATTTAAGCTGTAAATGTAGCATCCAGTTAGTTTAAATATTTCCAAATAATTGTCAGTGAAGTGCTGAGAAGTTAACCTAGCAAAAGGACAAAACATTTGGCAAGCACTGAGTTTTGACTCTTCTGTTGAGTACTTTATGGCTCAGAAAATAGCTGAAATGGAGCCTTGGCTAGAGCCCAGCTTGGATTCTCTGTGGTTATAGCAAGCAGAAATGCTCATACGCAGCAAATCCTTGGCAATCTTTATGGAAGTTGGTTTTTTTTATCTCAGTGGACCAAAATGTTTATCATAAATTTTTTGTTATTTCAAAAAAAAGCTAATAAAATTGATCCAAATACTAGTTTTATTACTCTTATGGTATTACTCTTCTTGATATTTCTCTCACATTAATAAGAGGAGGTATGACAGTTGCTTGGATGGAGGTTGTTATAATCTCGTTCAGATGCTACCTCTTTGATAAGGCTGCACCCCAAAAGAGTAATAAAAGCACCCTGGAACTCCTAAAAAGGAGGAGAGGCTTCATAAGAAGCAAAAGTGGCTCATGAAAATAAACCATATTTTCCCAGTGGTTTACTATAATTGTCATCACCAGAAAGTGTTTTTATTTTTAGTACATTCTGGTGAGTGTTCTGTAGTTGTTTATTTATGCAATAGCACTTTAGAGTAGGGATCAACATATGCCAAAATATTGCATTATTGCATCCAGTCTTCTTCTTCCCTGTAGCTGGACACATGGCTGTTACCCCTGTTCCATTAATGGGTGTTGCATGAGGGCTAGGAAAGGAACATACTTCTAAGAGATAGATTGCCCCTGTGAGTGACAAGGAGTCTTGGAAAGTGCTGCACTTCTTGATGTCATTTTCTGGCTTGGAGTTACACATTTATTTGCTTGAATTACAAAAGATGTGAGAATTTATCTAGTTTGTTTTCTATTAAAAATAACTTGGCTTTGAGCAAGATGAAGGAACAGATATGATGAGGTGAATTCTTCCAACAGATACAGAGCAGTGGGGTCCAGTTCCACTTGCATCAGTGCAGTGTTAATATAACAATCCCTTCAAATAGCTCTGCTCCTTATTCAACAAAGCATTTAGAGATGTGCTAAAATCCATCAATAGTTAAGAAATTACATGAGAATAAATCTAAAAGTAGCTCTGGTGATTATATCTAAGTAAACAGGATTTGAGCAGAGTGCTTACTGTGGAATGCTTTGCTGAGTGGGGGTGGATTTCGTTAAATGTCACCTCTTCACTATTAGACTGGCATTTTATGAGCTAGCAACAACTTTCTTTTAAGGTTCTCTTATAAAACACCAGTTCAGTGTGGGAAGCACTGGAGCACAGCTCCTATTGGAACTCTCCAAACACACTGAATTCAGATAACAATGACTGTTCTGTCTTTGGGAAATTGATTTCTTCTCCTTTTCTTCTGCAGAAGAGAAATTCAAGGTTTTCTGGGAATAAAAAAAAAGAAACTTTTTTTTTTTTTTTTAAAACTTCATTTGTCTATTTGATTGAATTTCGCATTAGAGTTGGCTGTACCCTGGTTTTGCACAGCAAATCATACAAAAGTAATTAGAGTAACTTTTTCCTTTTGGGGGACAGGGTGAACACAGATGTAAGCTTCTGTTTTGTTCATGTTTTGTTTTCTTTACTTCTCTTTCCAGTAATGTAGAATGTATAAAACTCTTGCAAAGCAGTGGAGCAGACTTCAATAAGAAGGACAAACGTGGAAGGTAGGTAAATGATGAAGATCTTTTAAAATAGAATCTAGCAGGCAAGGAAGCAAGGCCACCTCAGTCTGGAAATTCTATGTACTATGAAAAATGGCACTAAAATAAAGTAGGAGTTTGGCCTTCCCTGCAGAACTCTTGCTGCTGCAGTTATATGCCAGATAGACAGGTGCAGACTTCATTAAAGACATAAAAGCCATCCTGCCCTCCTGAGTTTTGTTTAAAAAATAGCACAAGTTTTCTTTTTTACTTGTTTCGTCTCTTATTGCCTATATTCTTGTGCTTGTATGCCCAAGACAACCTCTGTGTTATGATGCTAGGATAGCTGCTATTTAACATGCTTCCTTGAGGAGTTTTCCCTCATGGGAAATGTTGCTGTGCCAGGAACAGTGTAGTGTGTGTGCAGAGCCACAGCAGAGCCTGTCACTGGGAAAAGGTTGTTTGCAGGACACAGATTGATGATCTGTATCCTATTAGGGCTTCCCAAGAGCACCAGAACTTCCTATTAACGCAATATTTTGTTAAATTTCCATAAATTGAGGCGCTGATATTGACTGCTGAAAATCTGTAAGAATGTAGCAATTAAGATAATAGTTATCCTCTGTTGTGCATATTGGAATATGAGGTAACAAATTGCCACTTATGTTGCAGGACACCTTTGCACTATGCAGCTGCAAATTGTCATTTCCACTGTATTGAGACACTGGTGACAACAGGAGCCAATATTAATGAAACAGACGACTGGGGCCGCACCCCTTTGCACTATGCTGCTGCCTCTGACATGGACCGAAAGTAAGAGCTTCTGTGTGATTCTTGTTTCAAGGGTTTTGCTAAATCAGTGTCATTCCAGTCTCCTCATGATGCTGTCAGCTGAGCCAAAAAATGATCCTGCTAGCAAAGGGATTTCTCTCAGATGTATGCATAGCTCCACACTGAGCTGCTCTGACTACAAGCCAAATCCCCAGATGCTGTGGTATTTCAGCTCCATGGTTTACCTTTGAAGTAACTCAGGGTTTTGTAGCCACTCTGTCCTACTGAACTATTTTCACAGTGTTTTCCTCTCTGTGGTTTCCTTGCAAGAGTAAGCTCAGAGAATTTTCTACATCTGCTCTGCAAGTCCATCAGAAGGGACAGAGCAAGAGACAGCAGGAGGAGAGGTTTTCTTAGATGGGCTGCAGTGACAGACAAACATCTGGCCACTCTGACAGAGTTTCTGGAAAAGATGGGCTAGATCTCACCATCAGTCAGAGATGATAAAAAGTTCACCCTGTCCAAACAGGTTGCTTTTTAGAGACTTTAAGCAGAGGGGCCTGGGGAATATCCTTTGGCAGGACACAGTGGTGTTCTTGTGAGAAAGGGGGAAAACAGCTGCAAAACTCAGAAATGCTGTGGTTAGTAACTGCAATTTTTATTCCCAGATAGTTTCATATTTTGGCAATATCTTTCTTATAACAGACTGTATAAATGGACTCAATTATCTTGTTAGTTCTCTCTTTAGAGTCAGTTAGCAACCTGTACTTATTTTATGCCATCCTATGTTTCTCTCTTTCATTCCTTTAGGTGCTAAGGAACTAGTTTTTGGTTTCTTGTGTAGTGAGGTCTGGTAAAAGTACATCTGTATCATTCTCAACAGAATGCCACCTCAAAGCCACAGCAGGAGAAGTTTGGTTTAACTTTATGGTAGAGTTTTGAATGCCACATCAGAGCCTCGATAGCTGCTTCATCATTTGCTCTGATAATATTGATATAGAAGACGTCTTCCCCAGTCACCCTCAAACCTGAACAGAGCTGGGAAGAAGGAGATAGGATTGTCAGAGGTCTGTGCTTGGCATTAAATCAGAGTAGGCTTGTAGGAAGGCTTTCACCACTGGCTGTTTCTAATTCTGTCTTACCAGGGTGAGGTGTTACTTAGCATGTTGAGAATGATGATTCAGTGTGTGTTTTTTCAGCTCTTGGTTCTTGGTAGGTGAAGTTCCTGCATTTAAACAAGCTCCTGGTTAACTACAGGATGTACCTACTTTCATGCCTTATTAAAAAAACCCAATGCTTGCTTTAGCCATATCCTGAACTTTGGCAGGAATTTATGGCCTTTATTTGCCCTCACAGTCCAAACCTAAATTGATTTGGATGTGGTGCTGCTGTCTTCTCATTAAATTGTTCAGTTTGAGATGTTCTGGAAGAAGTCTTGTTACATGGATAAAATGCTATTTGCAGTCTGTGATTTTATAGGTCAGCTTTTTTTTTTTTTCCCCCTGCTGAATGTCAAAAAACTCCCAAGGTCATGCAATCTCAGCCCAAAGAATATTCATCAGTATTTAACTTTGGATGTGGGCGGTTAATGAGCAGGGAGAAGTCTTGGTGCAGTGAGGTTGCCCTGCTGTTTCAGCTGTTCTGGTAACTGCTGTTGCTTATCATCTTCAGAAAGTTCCCTTTCCAGCAACAAAATCACAACAGCATTTTCATTAAAGGCGTGATTATACTTTCTGAGTACTGTTTACCCAGATCATCACTTACTCTGTTCAGGGAATCTTAGTTTTGGCATCTCACTGATTTATAGTTAACTGAAAGCAGACGCAAGTAGGACTTGAGCATGGCACAGGAGTCCTGTCTGTGAGCTTATGGGGCTAATATTCAGGGGAGTTATTAATAATTAAGTTTTTTCTGGGTCAGTGGACAACAGACAGACCCTGGGTTTGTAGAACAACCATTATTGCTAGCACCCACAAGAAGAATGCCAAATTTTGGTATTATAAATGGGAAATGGCGTATGAACTGAAAAGTGTGCAGGATCCAGCAGCAAATTGCATGTTATATTGGGATAGAAATTAGGAAACTGTCTTCTTACCAACCTTTCAAGATACTAATCCATGCTGATAGCAGATTATAAACGTGTTCTGTGTTAGCCTTGGTGGCCAGGAAAGATGATAGTCACAAGCTCATGACTGTAAGATCTCAAATCATAGTCTTCTGTCTGCCATCCATCCAGCTGGGGGGCCAAAAATCATTGGGTGTGCAGGAATATGATGACCTGCTGAGCTCTTTCAGAACTTCTCTCAAAATTTAAGGAAATCACACAGCATTTACAAGATACTACACAGAAAGTGAGAAGAGTCAGTGCAGATAGACTTGTTCACTATCAGTGATTAAGTGTCTCTAAATCCTAAATGCTAGGGAAGAACTAGCAGGTTCCTGTAGGAAGAAGCAAGGTGTAGTTATCCTGAGTTACTATCTGGAAGAGAAAAAAATGCCCAGCGCTGCTGTGGGAGAAACAGAAGGATTCTAGAAAGTGATAATCAAACAGTTTCTGACAGAAACCAGAATTTTTTCTTCTGGCATTGGACAGTAAACTCCCCCATGATAGTTGTCTCCACAGCAAAACTTGCTAGCTGCAGACCTGTGCAGTACACTCATTTAACCTGTGCAGCTCCTACTGTTGGCTGGAGGAGGTCAGCTCCTCAGAGACACACTGGGGATGGGTGGCAAACTACCTCAGAGCACCGAGATGGTATCTTGAAAATAAGTTGCATTTTTCTGTCCTCTGTGCTAAGGGGAAAGAATATTTTAGGAAACTCTGATGAAAATGCTGAAGAATTTGAAAGAGCCACTGAGATGAAGGAAAAAGAAGCTGCATTGTAAGTTTGGTGTCAAAACAGCAGTTATTTCTGGAGAACGGCACTGCTTTGGGTTGCAGTTGTACACTCTGCTCTTGCTCGTGCATTGCTCTGCTAAACACTGTGCTTGGCTTCAACAAAGGCTAACCTAAAGGAAAAGCTCCATGCTCTTCTCTGTGCACATATTCCCTAATAGTTCTGTCTCTGTGTTTGTTGCTGTTTCTTGATTTAAAATGCACAGCTTCAGTGATTTTATAACTCTTTTTAGTATCATTCGCTGTCTTATTTTAACACTTTGCACTATGTATGTTGCTAAAAGAAGTAGCCAATGGCTTCCTCAATGCATTTACTCAGCCTAACATTTTTATCTGTTGGCTTCACAATTATTTTTTTTTAAAAATCCTCTTTTTCATATGACAGCCTAATGTTTGCTACTGATTACAAGCTATGGATAAAAGTACTAATAACAAAATGATGATATCTTGATGGTGTAAGAGAAAGTGGCAAGAGCTATAAAGAGCAAAAGGGATCCTTTGGAAAAACATGGTTAAAAAAAAGCCAACAAAGAAGAAAATATATTTATGCCACAAAAATATAACTCAGTTAAGTCTTTGTCCTCCAGCTTGCCATGGTACATGTTTGGAGGCTGATGGTTTGATAGATGAGTTCTTGTGTCAGTAGTAGCAGTTCTAGGCTGTTTACATCACAGTACAGAGTTGTGTAGTTTTCTTTCAGCCTTTGTAACAGACAATCATTTCTGTAATCTAGAGTAGCCACAAGAGTTAGGTTTAAGATTTTTTTACTGAAGATGATCTTCAAAAACGGATGGAGATTTTATGTTTAAAAAACTGGTGAACATGACGCGCTATTGGTGCAAAGTGATCTGAGGTGCTGCAACAAATACAGGATTACTTGCCGGTTTTCAGTTGCAGTGAGGGATGAGTCTGTTAAATGTTGTGAGCTCACGTTTACACAAGTGAATTGTCCACAGGTGTCTAGAGTTCCTTCTGCACAACGATGCCAACCCGTCCATCCAGGACAAAGAGGGGTACAACACTGTGCACTACGCTGCTGCATACGGGCACCGGCAGTGCTTGGAACTGGTGAGTGCTCAGGCTCTCAAGTCTCTCTGCTGATACAGTATGTGCATATGCTAGTATAATGAACTCCCCTGAGGGCTACTGTCTGAGTTCTTTGGAGAGTCAGAAATCTGTGCAAACCTGCAATATGGTGCACTAAACTCAAGTATATGCACCCAGATGTATCTTGAACACATGTTCACATGGATAATCCAGTCCTAATTCAACAAGCAGATGCTTAAATGTTGGTTTTGAGTGGAGCTTGTGTGCAGAAATCATTTGTATCTATGATCCCAGTATTCTGTATTCCCAGTGTATGTGTGTGTGCCAGTAGTAAGGGACAGTTCCTGGTACATGACAGTGTATGTGCCTTATCTACTTGGCACTTTATCTGACTTGCAAACTGAGAGTAAATAGCTCTTGTCAGCTGCATATCTTCAGTGTACTTTTTGCCTCTGGTGAAATAATAGCAGCATTGATAAAGTTACCATAATCGAGTTTAACCTTCTTGTATGTAATGTGACTGGGGTTTTTTTATTATTTTTTTTTTAACATTGTGGGCCTGAATCATTAGAATTTGCATCTTATATAAAGCCAAACATTTTTAACCAAAAATTGGATTTAGGAGATGTATAGTATGGATTTAGAGTTGTTTGTGGCTTGTACAAGTAGGTGTCATGAAGATGGGTGTTAAATGAACTGTAGTGATCCAGAATAACTGTGTCACATATAGACTTTAATTGCTTTTTAAAAAAATGCTCTAATTAGAAAATTGTATAGCCATTCATGCTTGAGTGAAACACTGTGTGCTGTTTAGTGTTCTATGTTGTTTGGTTCTTTCTTTCTGTGTTGAGGAGTCAAAGTACCTGGTTCTTGAGAGGGAGCTGTGCACAGCACATGCTGCTCTCCCATCACGTGTGCCAACGCCGTCAGCTCCTGCCACCACAGGAGAGGGGCTGCAGCTGTGTCCCAGCAGCTGGAAACCTTGGGCTGTAATTACACCAGAGCAGCCCTGAGTTTATGTAGCACGATTTTTGGGTGGGATGTTAGGCCTTTTTAGCTCCCACCTGCAAGGATGTATATTTAGGACACCTAAAATGCCACTGCTGCTTCGTTGCTTGTGGCAGTGAGTTTGGCCTTTCCTCATTTTGAGCCTTCTCCTAGAGATCTCTGGTGACTCTGCCCGTGGGGATGGAGGGCTTCTCTGCTGAGCCTGACACCCATTTGGAACAAAAGCAAATGTTCTTGGCATTTGAAGGGCATATAGAGAGAGATTAGCCTCCCCTGTGCTCTGTACACGTGTGCAACCACAGCAGTGTGTACTGCCACCTTACCCATGTCTTGTCACCAGATTCTTGCATGACTTGCACAAGCAGAGACCTCCATAAAAGCATCCTCACTGGGGAACTCTCTTCCAGCCCCCATATTACAGTCCCTGTGTGCCACAAGGCATGGATCAGGCATGGAGCAAGGCTGCTTCTTGTTTCTTTCACTTGTTGCTGTGCACGTTTTCTGGCAACATATCTGCTGCAGACACTGACCTGCTACTGAATCCTGGTGTTGCTCAGGCTTGGCAGGCAAAAGGAAGAGCTGGGAATGCAGTGCATATCAGAGGTGTTGGGTTTTCTTTTAATTTTGGAGGGTGACATGCAAACTGTGGGTCAGACACAGCTGTGCAGCAAGTGTTCTGTATTTGGGTGGAAAATGTCAATGTTTTTCCATGTCAGTCTTCCAATATTTGTGACTATAGCTACAGTATGGAAACTTAAGGTCAAGTGTCATTTACAGAGTTAGTCACACAGCTTTTCTGTGTACAGTGGCGAAAGAGAACTGCTATGAACTTTAGTCTTTTTCATGGACAGGACCAGTGTTCTGCACTAGCTTGTAGGCCTGAAAGCTTTGTGGGGACCAATTTTGCCATTGGTGTTTAGAGGCTGACAAACATCTCATTTTCTCTCTGTGATACAAAAACTAAATGTACCAGAAAGTGTTTGTGCTTGACCAACAGCAGGACCAGGACCTGTCACCTTTGCACTGTGATTCAGTTTTGTTGCAGTGACTACCAAGTTCTGAATTCAATTACTTTATATTTGATAACACTAATTGATACAGGCACCATTACACTGATTTCTTTGCCATGCTGGGATTCAGGATGGCAAAAGGGCTGAGAGCCAAGTCCTGGGTAGCTGAAGGGTAATTGTGCTGGGGACATGAAGTAGGAAATAATCCTTCTGCCTGAGTTTATTCACTTATTCCAGTGGGAGGCTCTTGGGTGTTTAGCCAGTAGTTGATTTCTGCACTTCTTCTGATAAAGTAGCATTGCATGTAGACATTGCAATCAGAATGGTTTTGACAGAGTTATGGTTATTCATGGCTCTTTGAAGGCTGTGTCTAAAGGCTGCAGGAAGTATTCAACTGGTGCAGGCAGAAAGGAGCCTCACTGTCCTGTGAGACTGCCTGGTGCCTTGGTCATAGTTTGTTGTGCTCTCTCTGGTGGACATGTGACAAGGGCTTCATTGTGAACCATGATTTTTATTTCTGGTGGCTATAAACCACAGTACATTGACTGCTCCTGTTACACACAGTTGAATGAAGCATCCAGTAAGGTTTAATTGCTTCTAGGCATGACTTTTAGCTAGAGGCCCTTTCTTTTCCATATACCAGAAAGAACAGTAAGTCCTGAAATGCCATTTTAGTCTTCAAGTGTTCTGTTTAGCTGTTTTCAAAACCAAACCAACAGAGATCAAGAAAATGGGGAACACTGTGCCTTGTTTCTCTGCCCTGAGCCACACAAGACTCTCCTCAGTGATGGTGCAGGCAGCTGCCTGTTCCAGGTAACTCTGGATGTTGCAATGAGGGGTTAGTGTGTGGAGAAGGTACAAAAGAGCAGCTGGTTATGTCTGAGAGGTGCTTGGCTGGTTTTATTGCTATATCTTGTAAATACATTTTTTCTTGTTTTTCTTCAGTGACAATGAAAAGGAAAATCAGATTCACAATATTTTTACTGAAGGGTCTTACTCAAGGAACAGTGGGAGCCCAGCAGCCCTAATTCCAATGTAAATACATCTGTAGATAGGCAGGGAGATGTTTTATTTTGTTTTCACACATGCAATAACAGAGAGAAATGGATGTCATTCTTAAAAGCAGCTTTGAGCCACTAACCTGCATCACAGGAACTCTCACATACGGAAGGAGTATTCTTTTCAAAATATTTCCAGTCTTTTCCAACCTGAAGAAGATAGTCTCAGGCAGGATTATTGCAATAAAACCATTGGTTTTCAGTGCCAGATTAACTGTTGTTTTACTGTTTAATCTCCTGGGTAAATATTTTTGGTTTATTATTAATAGCTCATAGCTGAAAATGTCTAGGAATGATCTTCCCTAGAACAAGACTGTTCTTTATGGTCATAAAACTGTTAGAGGAAAGAGTTCATTTGAAATATGGAGCCTTAATTCTGGTCAATACTAAGCCAAAGTGGGTGCAACAATAAACTTGTTGAACTGCAGTGAAAGGTAAGAGAATTATTTCGGTGTTCCAGAAATATGCCAAGTTTATCAAAGACCTTGTAGGATTAATTTTTTTCTTCCCTTCTCCCCCCTGTTTTTTTTTTTAACAGGTTATCTAAACCAGCTTATTTCTAAATGAATGTTCAGTTAAAAAACTAAGTTTGAAGAACATGTAGTATCCAGTGGAGTTTCCTTCACTGGGGAATTTGGTCTGTGCTTTAAGCACCATAACTTTCTCTGTGTTAGAAAATATTTACACACTTGAGTGCAGTTTAGGAAAGGCTGGTTTATCTAGGAAAACATATTTTTACTTCTTGACTTTTATGTTTACTGTGAGCCCAATACCTTGGCTGGAACTTAGCTAAACTTCTCTGTGGGGAGAGCAGAGGTATTAGGAGAAATAAGGATAAAGAGTGAAAAGGTCATATCCTTTGATGGAAACAAATGCAGTTTGTGTTTATGTGCTCAACAACAGAAGCTTCTTTCCTGGAGGACCTATAGGTTGTCAGGGCTATTAGTGGGGGTAGTTGCCCTGTAAAGACTGATGTGATGTGGCTAAAAAAGAGAAGAGTGGAAGCAGATTCTTCCATTCTCTGTCTATGAGGAGCCATTCATAAAGGTGGGCAGTGTGCTCACAAGCAACTGAAGCTCCATCTGCCTGCCTGCCTCTGAAAATAGCCTCAGGTTTCTTTGGATTGGGACTGATTTCTTTGGGGTTTGGTAGTCACGAATATCAGCCACAACTGCTCCCTGGTGTTTTGGAGCTGATCATGTCATCAAACTGCTTGGAAAAAAAGAAAAATGTGGTGACTTTTTTTTTTTTTTTTTTTTTGCATTGAAGTGATCTCTTATCACAGAATCTTTATTAGTGTGAAAAGAGTGGCATTTAAATTTAATTTCACATTAAAATTCTGTTTGGAGAGACAGTCAAGCACATTGTGCTGGTAAAACCAGGTTTGTGCGCAATGCCAGGGCAAACAGAACAAAATGCCTGTCTCCTGAAGGGAATTCTCTTCTCTGCCTGTGAGAACCGATGGTTATTTTTCCTTCTAATCTGCTCTTTATTCTATCAGTGAATGAAATTCTCTCTTTGACTGGCACAGGGGGTGTGATGGGAGCATGGCTTAACCCGAGCTGTGTCTGAAAGCAGAGGCAGATCTCGGCAGGGTGACCCAGAGCTGTGTGAGGGAGAAGGGGCACAGTGAGGTGTCTGGCTTTGGGCGTGCTGTGAAAGGAGAGATGGAAGAGAAAGAAAACACCTTTTATTGGATGAGCTGTTGCCATTGCAAGATTGTTAGGCCTTCAAACACTTGTCTGAAACCAGTGGCGATAGTGTTTTGTGTGGTGAATTACTTCATACATGTGTCTGTGAGAGCTTTTCCCATGTGGAAAGCTTCTTTTCTCCAGAGAAGAGCAAAGTCATTAACCTGGGTGGTTCTTTCTAGAACAACTTAGGGACTTAATGCTCAAAAATAACTTCAGTGAACCTAATTTGTCTGTCAGTTCTAGACTTCCCC